TGATCCTGAACCTGATCCTGAACCTAATCCTGATCCTGAACCTGATCCTGAACCTGACCCTGATCCTGATCTTGAACCTGATGTTTTATTGATGTTTTATTGATGAAAATGTATTTATTTTATAACTTTCAGTCTTTTGATGATTGTTCTGTTGTTTATTGACTCAGAGAATCTTTTATTTTAAATCGATAGACATGAAGAATCTGAAGAATCTGAAGAATCTGAAGAATCTGAAACTCGAGACCAGTTTTCCTTCATTTATCATAAAATTACAAAATGTTTTGATGAAGGTGAAAATGATGACTCGATCACGGAACAATGTAAATGAGTTTTTGTCTCTAACACATCTACCACAGTTTCAGATGAAATGTTTTCTCCTGATAATTGATGAGACGCTCGACGGCTCAGGTTCAAGCCAAATTTAATCTTTATTAGACTGTTTCTGTACAAAAAGCACTGGATCACAGGAAAATACCAAACAAAAAAACATGCATCAATTTACAGCATGGCCAGAGACAGAAAAAGAAAGAACGTGGAGGTGTCGCCCCCGTCTGTATTCTAAAGACATTAATTAAACATTGTGCTTTAATATACTTTGATGATATATTTCATATTTCACAAAGATGCAGTTCCTCTGCGCTCGTTCACATTGGAGTCAAACATAAGTAACTTTGAAAAGCAGAGAAGAAACTTTCTACGACGGAGACATTTGATCATCGAGCTGACGGAGACGAGCTGAAGGTTCGTGGACGGACGCGTCGCTGTCCTCTGCAGGTTCCTTTCACTGTCTGAGCGACGCCGAGCAGAGACACTTCTCCGTCCGGCTGAATTTGCATAAAGTCAGAGTTGAATCAGCTCAAACTTCAGAAGTCGAAGTTTTTTATGACGGAGAAACAGATGATTCTTGATTCTTTCTTTACAGTTTGAAAAAAAACGACTATTTCTAACATGAAAGTGGATTAATTCTTGATTTCACTGTCTGTGATCAGGAATCTATATCTACTTTAAAGATATAAGTCCAGATTTAAATCTTTTCATTTCAATTAAAACATGTTTCTCAGATTGGGATTTTTGAATTTGACCAGTTTTGGATAAATTTTTACAAACGAAATGTCGTCAGATTAGTTAAAATAAGTTTGAGAATCTTTCTCATGGTTTGACACTGATGCTGTGACAGTAATTTATTTACAGATCTTTTCAGTATAAATGTTTTATGTCATTTCTGGTGACGATGCTAAAACATATTTAAGTCAAACAGAAGTGATAATTATTCTCTAGTAAAACCTGCGGCTGCGATCGGACACTTGAACGTAGCTTTTTATTTTGAGGGATGAACATTCGGTGCAGGAAATAAAATTCTCAGTTTGACTGGAGAGCGACTGGACGAGTGAAAACGTTCTACGTAAACGCTGCGGAGCTAAAGGATGAAAACAGCAGCGGAGACTCAGTGGTCGATCGTAAGGCATCAAACAGGACGTCCCCGCGGTGGACGACCAGCTGGCGTTACGGAACAGGAAACAGTTGCATAAGTAAATGATCTGGATTGTGTGCAACGACGAAAAACAGCACCATCAACAACAACATCGATGGAAGGTTCCTTGAGATCAGTGACTGGTTTTAAAATCTGACGCCTGTTTTTAAAAACACGACGAGCAGGTTTGAGTTTCATATTAATGGATAAAATATTATCGTCTTCTACACATCAAAAGTAAAAGTGGTGGAATATTATGAAGCTTCTGAAATAGAAAACGTTCACACGACGAGGATTTCTGACAGAAAAGAAACGTCTCGGTGCATATCGTTCTTCTTCTTTTTTAAAAAAACTTTTAGCTTTTTTAAATTTTTTGCTCGGATGCATTGCTCTTATTAAGTGCCCCAACGAAAATAGTGCATTAAGAAATAACCATGATTATACATTTCACAATAATACACAAAGGACAAGAAGAACCAGGGGAAACACAAATGATGCTGTTTACAAAAAGTTAAATATCGTATCGGAAAAGCATTTTTATACAAAAGTGATGAAAGCGTTTTTTTTTACGTCCTGTTTCAAAAACAGGGAGACCACGTCATGACGTATTTTTTTTGTTCTCTTTTTACAAAAAGGTTAATTCCTCTCACTTGTTCACTTTTTTTACAATATCTAAAAGGTATTAAGACATCAAATGTGTTTACATATATATCTGAGACTATCGTTCAGGCCTAAATCACAAAGGAACTTTATAAATACATAGAAAATAAGCACAATCAGAGGAAGAAGAAGAAAACCTGGTACCTTAATGTGAATAAAAGTGTTGAAGCTTTTTCTGGTTCTACGACTCGACGGCTGCGGAACAGAACAAATAAACTGATTCAAAAACCAGAGACGTCGAAAATAAACGTGAGAATGAAAGAAAACTTGTGTTCGTTCTTTATCTGAGAAAAGTTTCCTTCTTCAGAGGATGAAACCAAAAAGTAGAAAAAAAGAAGTGGATCAGTTTTCTGCTCCTCTGGGTTTGTGGGAAAAAGTTCAGGATCTCAGATTAAAATCTGGAAACCGTCTGACGGATTTTATTTTCCAGATTTGAAAAGGAAAACGTTTCCTCCTGGTTTTTTGGACCCGACTCAGGTTCAGTGTCCACCGAGAACTTCTGACCCGCCGGCAACAACCGGACTCAACCGACGCTCTGGTTCAGTTCGTCACCGCGTCGGACATTCAGGTGAAGTTAAGAAACTTTGACTGAAAAACACTGAAACCGATTTTTCATGAGGAGTGAACGTTTCGTCACCGTGGCAACCACGACTCACGAAACCAACCAACCAGAGACAGGACGATGATGTCATTATTTCAACTGTTCACTCACACTGAAATGTTGGTTCCTAATAATCTGACCCGTCGTCTCCGTCTCATTTGAAGTGAAGAGCGACAATGAGGAGGATTTGATATGAATCATGTGAATCTTTCATATTAATTGTTTTGGACTCTTTTCGTTTTCGGGGTTCTTTGGTGTGTTTCTTCGTTTCCAGATGAAATTAAACAAACGTGGTTTCACTTCTGGTTTCAGGTTTGAGTCTAAATGTTTGTGGATCAGATGAAGTTCTGTTTTCAGGTTTAATCTGAACTGAATCTGGATCAGTTTGACTGAAAACAAAAGATTTCAAATATAGAAACTGTGGACTGGCCCTTTAAATGTGAAGCTCCCGGTGGACACGCCTCCTTCCTGTCTCACAGTGGTTAAACTCCGCCCACGACTCAAACTAACCTGTTAAATGTTACTGCACGCCCCGCCCCCGCCCTGCCCACAGTTCACATCCCTGACCTCCGACCTCCACTGAGGGGGCGTGGCCTCTGACTTTTGTGACATCATCAGAAAACAGAACGAGCTGGATGCTGTTGTTGTCGTCACTGTTGCCGTGGTGACAGGTGAAGATTCGGGGCCCTTTACCAGGAGCAGGGCGGGAGCGAGGGATGATGGGAGGGATTTCTCGTTGTTTTTGTGGCGGTGTTTCGGGTGGGCGGGGCCATCGGTGCTGGGGTAGGGAGGGGAGGAGTCAGACCAAACCTATCATCCTCACATGGGCGGGACGATGAGACCGGCCATGGCTGAAACACAGAGACACAGAATCAGAACCAACGTGAGCGTTCGCTCAAATGAATCTAAACGTTGTTTGAAGAAATAAAGTTGAAAACGTTTGTGGAGGAAGTGAAATAAAGAATCTTCAGTGAAACTTTAACGTCACAGATGAAATCAGAAGTTATGGATCAACTTTGAACCGGAGGCTCGAAATCGTCACGTTCACACTGGACGTCTGCGGACGTGTCCGGGTGGGACGAGGACGAGGACGGGTGCTGACAGGTGGGAGGGGGTGGGGGGTGGGATGCTCACCCTGGAGGTTGCTGCCATTGGTGGTGGTGCAGGTGGGGGGCGGGGAGGTCTGTGGCCGCACGACAGGGGCGAAGGCGCTCTTCTGTTTGACTGCAGAAACCATATGGACAGGAGAGAATGAATAAGGGCCTATGGGAGCAGAGGAAGAAGAGGAAGAGGAGGAGGTGAGGAAGACGTGTGTGGGGGGGTAAACCTACAGAGAACGTAACGAGCAGGCGGACGGAGGGAGGAGGGGGTGAGTGATCGGCAGAGATGAGGTGGATCGTGCAGGAGGACGATGATGAAGAGGAGGAAAAGTAGAAGGAGGAGGATGAGGAGGAGGAAGAGGAGGATGAGGTAGAGAAAGAGAAAGAGGAGGATGAGGAGGATGAGGAGGATGAAGAAGAAGAGTTGGAGCATGAGGAGGAAGAATGTGTCCCTGGCTCATGGGGCCGAGGTCTGGAGGAAGAAGCTCGGAGCACAAACATCTGAACATCTGACAAAGTTGATCCATAACTTCAACAAACACAAACCTGAGAATCTTCATCCACACAAACTCAACACGTGTGTGTGTGTGTCGTTCTGATTAAAGGAGCAGTTCAACTCGTTCACATGGATTCAGATCTGTCCTCATTTACTTCACAGCTGGAAGCATTGTTAGCTTAGCTTAGCTTAGCTTAGCATAAGCCAGAGAGCTGGTCGGAGGTCGTGTCAGAGAAATAAAATCTCACGTTTATTTAAAAGTCAAGTTTCTGGATCTGTTTCACAAATGAAGTAAAATAATGATTATTTTCAACTGAACTGATTTGAGTCTGATTCCATAGAAATGATCATGTGACTGAAATGATCATGTGACTGAAATGATCATGTGACTTAAAGCTGCAGATTCAAGATGATCAGATAAAAACCAAACTAATTAACTTACAAATTAAAACCTTTTTATTTTTAAAAGAGACACAAATGTTCGTCAGCTTCACAACAGCTGGTGTTTGGGCAGAGTCCGGCGAACAGTTTCCCATCCGTTTGCAGTCTTTATGCTAAGCTAGGCTAACTACTATCATTATAAATCGACCTCGGTGAGATCCACGTTTTAGCTCCGTATCAGAACTTCGTCCACATGTTTCTGTTCTGACTAAAACACAAGTCCAGAGTTTTCAAACTAAAACGAGACCAGCAGCGTTTAGACGAGTCTGTGAGTCAGAGGCTGAAACTCGTGTGGGCGGAGCTTTGCGACTGTGAACATGATCCACGTGAACGCCTCTCTGAGGAAGAGAAGCAGAACATGTTGAACTGTCCCTTTAAGTGCGTCCACAGATTGAATGAAGCAGTGAATCTGTAAATGATTCGAGGTTTGAAGATGAAACTGAAAATGAAGGAATGTAACTCTGCTTCCTCCTCCTTCTAGAGCTTCAGCTGACGGATGTTAGTGAGTTTATAGAAGAGGAGGAGGAGGGAGGGTGAGGATGGACAGGGGGACAGTGAGAAGAGGGAGGAGGAGGGGGAGGTGAACAATGTGTTCAGTGTACACACACACACACACACACACACACACACACACACACACACACACACACCCTCAGCAGCGGGAAACTGAAGCTCAGCCAGGCGAGATGTGAGTCCACCTTTTGTTTAGTCGTCTGGGACGACATCACCTGGCACGAAGACGTGTTTGGAGCTCACTAGCTAAACGACGCTTTGATACAGAAGCCAAAACAACGCAGCCGTCCCCTGCGGGTGAGTTCAGACTTCACCGTCTCTGAAACACACCTGAGCCGCAGCAGCGTCGACTCCAGATGCTTTAATCAGCTTCAGCAGCAGAACAACTGAAACCTGAAGCACCGACTCGTCTGCAGCGAAACACTTGAACTCACTTCACAGTATTAATACACCTATATTACATATAGGTGTATTAATACAGGACAATATACTGAGGACAGTTTCACACCTGGTTTGTTTCAGAGCTTCAGACTCTTCGGTTCAGTCTGAAGCTGAACATCAGGTGTGAAAGGTTCCTCAGACCAGAGGTGTTCTGGTTCTGTTGGTGAAAACACTGGACAGTTTGGACTCGTTCTACTCGCTGCCTCTCAGGTGACTGATGACACAAACACCAGGTGAGTGGTTCCTTTCATTTTGAAGTTACTCACTTGCGTAAGCAGAGTTGGCCGTGGATCCGTTGAGGAAGCTGGGGGATCCAGGTACGCCCAGGTTGGTCATCCCCGCCGCTCCGTATCCGTTCATGGTGGACGTGATGGTGTTGTAGTTGGACTGCTGAGGGGTGGAGCTCGGCACGTAGCCGCGAGGAGAGACGCTGTTGGAGTTACGGGAGTAACCTGAGAGGAGGAGGAGAGGTGTCAGAGATTCTTCTTCATGGTTTCACACTTTCTCTTGTGTTGTAGTTTGTGTAGCTGAGTCGTCTCCTCACAGGTTCACGTCTTTCAGCTGCTTCTCATTCATCATTTACACCTCGTGAAGTCACTTATTGTTATTGTGTGTGCCGCTGTGACCTCAGCAGTGACATCACCACACCTGTCACTGTCGCTCTCCTGTTACTGGCTGCTCACTTCCTTGTGGGCGGAGTCTGCCCTTCATTTACCTGAACACCCCCCCTCCCCCCGGTCTCTCGTCGACTGACCCTCATCCAACACTCAGCACCGATGTTCCCTGAAGTTCTCGTCCTGACCGCTCACCTCCTCACGAGGCTCTCGGGTTCCCACCGACCGCGGTCCCGCCCCTCTGAGCAACACAGTGCCAAGTAGCACATCACACCCCCCCCGACCCCCACCCTCCTCCACTCTCCCCCACTTCCTAGTTTGGGCCAACGCAATTCCCAGCAGGAGCGGCTGATGGAGCGCTGCCCGGGGACGAGGGCGAGGAGAGGCGGCGATGGGAAACACATGTTGAGGAGAACAGTGCAAGGAGCGGTGCAGAGCTGCAGAGACTCAATGTTCAGATTGTTCTCTCGTGAACTAAAGAATCTCTTCACAAACGGACTCAGTATTCAGGCGTATTTGTTCTGGTGTGTCCCCGCCCGTCCTCGCCCTCGTCCACAGCAGCGTGGGAAGCAGATCGGATGCAGATCACATCCTTCGACCTCACACTGAAGACTCAAATGGAAACACGTGTTTCTCTGCGGAGGCAGATTTGAGGAGCGGCGGCGATTAACTGACAGTTTAGTTTCAGAGAGTAAAGTGTCAGCGAGCAGCTGCGGGCCGACGCTTCGTCAAACATCGAGTTGGAACAATGAACCGTTCTCTAAAAACTGGACGTGAACACGCTGCGATTCGCTGCTCAGATGAATTACTGTCAGGTTTCAGCTGAGCTGCAGCGTCACATGACCCCAGGTTTCAGGTCAGGTGACTCAGCGTGATGCATGCTGGCCTTAACACAATGCATGCTGGTTAAACATTTTCTCCGACTCCATCCAGCACTGCAAAATGTCACAGCTCTACTCTGATTGGCTGAAGAGACACGCATGACGTGTCTTATGTTTTAATTCCAAGAATTCAGATGTGTATTATATAAACTGCATGTATGCACGATATTAGGAAAACATGCAATAACTTTGTTGACGATATGACTTCCGATAAATGTTCTACACACACTGAAACAAACACGCTTCTATTGAAAGAATTCCACCAGGTGACGATGAATCATCCGAACTGATCATTTCAATCTTTTCTTCTTCTTTAATCTTTAACATCTAATTTAATCAGTACATTTCTCTGAAACCTTGATTCTCTGTTTTGATCATCAGTTTTAACTCTAAGAATCTTTGAGCAGGAGTTTGAACTCTTCTCTCCTCGTCGTCAGAGTGAAGCAGAGAAACGACAAACTCCAGTGAGTTCAAATCCCTCTGCCGTCCGTCTGATAAGGCCTGATGTTTTTATTAATGCTTTAATCATGCTGGCTAATTGTGCGGGAGCACAAAGAGTCGTTTCATACTTCATAACGGCGAGCAGGACGGCGAGCAGGACGGCGAGCAGGACGGCGGTCAGATCCTCGGTGTAATGTTTCCGACCGGAGAGCTCGACGCACATAAACTACTCAGTTATGAATTTTCAGCACAGCCTCGTTTCCCATGACCTCATGGATTCCTGAAAGGTGTTCGCCACCGGGCCGATGGGAAAAGCAGACGAAGGTTGTGTGTGTGTGTGTGTGAGTGTGTGTGTGTGTGTGTG